TTCAAACAGCCATGAACACACGACGTCACTTAACGGACGAGCAGCGCCACCTGGCCATGGCGCGCCTTCGGGTCGGTGGCAGGCAGTCAGATGTTGCTCGTGAACTTGGTGTGTCTCAAAGTGTCATCAGCAGACTTGCATCAAGACACAGAACTACTGGCAGAGTTCATGACAGACAAAGGAGTGGAGCCCCACGAGTGACAGACCGCGGCGATGACCAGTACCTAAGGACCTATGCACTCAGGCATCGTTATGCAACCTCAGAGACTTCATAGAACCCATCATCATCCCCCAATTCCGCCAGCACACCCCCAACTTTCTGTTCATGGATGATAATGCTCCACCACATCGTGGCAGAATTGTCACAGCTCGACTTCAGGAGGTTGGAGTGCCTCATATGGTATGGCCATCAATGTCCCCTGACCTGAACCCCACAGAGCACGTCTGGGACCAGTTGAAGCACAGACTGAATGATCGTACCCCACCCCACGTGATGTTGCCTCAGAACAACATCATGAGGCTAGTGAGGAGCATGAGACGTCGCTGTCAAGCTGTCATTGCGGCAAATGGTGGAAACACCCGCTACTGACATTGTCAATTGTTGTTATTTGGGGCTGTCCCTGTTATTGTCTAAATTTTTGGGGTAATAAATATTAAACTAATGAAAATGGTGTTTCTTCTCATACATTAATAGTAATATCAAAGGGAACTTTTACTTATTTCATTAAAATTCAGAGCAAATAGGAAAAGCACTCATGTAAATAACAATATCCCTAACTTATTGTGAGTAGTGTGTATGTGGACTCAGGTGGCATTCAGCAGTGATACTCCACCAGACCAGCAGAGGGCAGATGTACTGCATGAAACACCAACACAAACAGTGTAGTGAAATGGATAAACATTATAAACGGTTTTAAAGTTGTTAGTATAGACTTGGGCAGTATTAAGGCAATATGGTTTATCGCGGCATTTTCAAATTTGAAATACTTAGGACGAAATTAGCCGGGACCCCCCCCCCACACCAATGAATTTTATTGGCAGGATTTCAAAATGCCTGAATTGTGCATTTGAAAATACCATATGGGGAGGCATGGTGGTGCAGTGGTTAGCGCTGTTGCCTCACACCCCTGGGACCTGGGTTCGAGTCTCCGCCTGGGTCACATATGTGTGGGATTTGCATGTTCTCCTCATGTCGTCGTGGGGTTTCCTCCAGGTACTCCAGTTTCCCTCCAAAGACATGCTGAGGCTAGTTGGCGTTGCTAAATTGCCCTTAGGTGTCCATGTGTGAGTGAATGGTGTGCGAGTGTGCCCTGCAATGGGCTGGCCCCCCATCCTGGGTTATTCCCTGCCTCGTGCCCGTTGCTTCTGGGATAGGTCTTGGTCTCAAGACCAATTTTTTGTGGTCTCAGTCCTGTCTTGGTCTCGACTCAAATTGGTTTTGGTCTTGTCTTGGTCTCGACTCTATTTGGTCTCGGTCTTGGTCTCGGACATAGCGGTCTCGATGGGATGGGGAAAAAAAGAGAAAACAGCACATCCTCACAGAACAGTATCATTATTTATTACGCGCCTCAATTCAAATGCAACCAGTCAGATGCATCTATTTTAAAAACGTTACATTTTATACCTTTTCTCAAGGGACACTGCCAGTGCTTCACAGTCCACACACATCATACACATCGCATCATAGCGAATTCGGCAAAGAAATGTCCGAAAATGTCCGCAAAGTCTATAGCATAGTTATAATTCAAATAAATTACGTATTTTACATTGATTAGAAAGCACAGAGTCTTGGAGGTGCAAGTCAATCTGGAGGCTCATTCTCTTCAATTCAAAGCAAAGGATCATTACATAGCTGTATTCATAGCTTACCCGAGGCCTCTCTCCCTGGTATAAGAGACTTAATATGAACATCTTTCTGGTACATCCCATCTCTTTCCCTTGACGAGGTCTGATAAAATGGTTATAGGAGAGGATTGCTGAGAATATTATTTTCCATCAGGCCTCGTAACTATGACAAATCTGGGAGATTTAAAATGAGAGACATATGGACATATGGACAATATAATTGAAAAGATAACATGAATTTGATTTAACGAGTAATGACACTTTACAGCAATGCCTTTTTTCTCTACAGTTGATCTGAGTAATGTGATGTCAATTCTAGCCCTAGTCTGTTTTCGGTCTTGGTCTTGGTCTCGCATTAGTGTGTCTTGGTCTTTGACTTGGTCTTGGTACCCTCAAGTCTCGGCAGTGTCTTGGTCTTGATACCCTCCGGTCTCGGCAATGTCTTGGTCTCGGTTTAGGTGGTCTTGACTACAACACTACCAAAAACACAGGTGGGAAAATTTTGTATGAATTGGCCTTTATGCTCCCCCCAGGTTTGTCAGAAGTCCACGATAATTTCTTTCTTCTTATTGATGCTGAGCAGCAGATTATGGGCCTTGCACCACTCCAGCAGCTCGCTTGCCCCCTGTGTGTGTGCAGACTGGTCTCCATCGCTTATGAGGCCCATCATGGTGGTGTGGTCTGCATACTTTATGATGTGGTTAGAGGTGGTCCTGGCAGAGCAGTCTGATGTCAGCAGTGTGAAGATTGGGGGTCTGAGGCAGCAGTGTGAAGAGTGGGGGTCTGAGGCAGCAGTGTGAAGAGTGGGGGTCTGAGGCAGCAGCCTGGCAGGTCCTACAGGAAGCAGCACCCCAAAAGCCAGAATACTTAACATAACTGTGTACTTAACATGCTTCACAGGTATTGGGAGTTCAGAAGGACGACCCCCAAGTCAAGTCTGTTTGTTCACAGAGTGTCACATGTAATACAAAATATCTACATGGAGTGTAGGCAAGTATTCTAACCCCATAGTTCTTTATTTCCAGGGCTGGTTACGAATCGTTGCCATCTTCTTGTGCCGGAAGTCCTGACTAGCAGAAGCTGGATTCTGTTATGTAAGCAAATGCATTGTGTTTTTATCACAGAAACAATGGCTATTTGGAAGATTCTAACAATTTTCCATTTGAATGGACTTCAGGGTACAAATCAGCAGGTTAGAGACATGTACTGTACCTATGACTGGCAGAATGATCATATCACTGTCGGCCCTTCAGCAAGACCCTTAACCCCAACTGGTCCACAGATGCTGGCTGACCTGCTCTCTCATGCTCACCTGTACGTCAACTTGGATAAAAGTCTGTTAAATAAATTAATGTAATGCTCTACTCCTTATGTTTTGTAGTGCTTATATATCAACATATTAAGGGTGTCACGTTTTCGATTTTAAATCAAAATCGATCGAAATTCATGCTCAATCTCGATTATCGAATCAAAAAATGGAATCGTCGATGCTGCCACGCCCCCATGTCACGTCAGCTTGCCTTGCCAAGTGAAAAAAAAAAAAAACACGCTTGTTGAAGTGCTGCGAGTCAACCTAACAGCTACAACAAACAGCCAAAAGATAGCATGACAACTGCAGACGAACAGACAAAATGCAACAATTCCTGTAACAACTGATAATGCAAAGAACATTGTCAATGCCTCACATGCAGCTGGATTGTCTCCACACATTGGATGTTTTGCCCACACTGTGAATCTGGCCTCCCAGAAGGGTTTGGGAGTAAAACAGATTTCCCGTCTTTTGGGCAGAGTCAGGAGGGTGGTCACTTTTTTCCACAGAAGCACCACTGCAGCAGCCGTCTTAAAGTCAAAACAAAACATGCTTCAGCTTCCTCCTCACACGCTGGTTCAAGATGTCAATACAAGGTGGAACTCCAGCTATGACATGATCACATGCTATTTAGAGCAACAAGCTGCTATCTATTCTGCACTTGCAGAAAAAGACATAAAAAAAAATGCTAAAGACCTTATCACCCTCTCTGATCAAGATGTGACTGTTCTGGAAGATGTATGTCAGGTACTGAAGCCCCTGAAACAACCTTGATGAGTTCCGAATAGCAGCCTACTGTGTCTATGGTCATGCCCCTACAACACACCATCCTGGCATCTTTGAAACACAGTGACACAGATTCAACGATTGTAAAGGATGTTAAATCTGCTATAGAGGCAAATTTTAAAGAGAGGTATTCAGACCCAAGACTTCAACAGTTCCTGAATGAGAGCACTGCCTTGGATCCTAGGTTTAAAACTTTACCCCACCTGGATGACATATCTCGGAATGAGATCTTCAATTGTCTGGAGGAGAAAATCTTGCAAGAGCATTCCACACAGGTATGTGATGCTAATAGGCTAATGTGATTAAGTTAAAGTAGTTTGTTTTTTGTATTTACATAATTTCACATGCATAATATTTCATGAATAGGACTAATCACAATATCCTTTCTGTTTGTTGTTGTCACACTTAAATATAATTTCTGCCTGTTTATTACCTTAAACAACAGTGTTTTGTGTGTGACTATTTCAACCTCATGCCTCAGGAGAAGGATCCAGCCAAAACCCTGCTGAGGATACAGTCACTGTAGCAACCAGTGGAGGCAGCCCCCCAACAAAGAGAACAGCACTCAGTGAACTGTTTGGTGATTTTTTCAGCACAGCCTCTACTGCATCATCATCAGAAACCAAACCATGGCCTGATGTTGTAAAAGACGAGATTCAGCTATACAAAATGGTTAAAGTAATTTCTGTGGATTCAAATCCACTGAAATGGTGGAAAGATAATGAGAACCAGTACCCAAATTTGTCCAAGCTTGCCAAACGTTATCTTGCTGTACAAGCAACAAGTGTGGCAAGTGAACGAGTGTTCTCATCAGCTGGGGACATTGTGACATCACAAAGAGCGGCCCTCTCCACAGAGAATGTGGACATTCTCATTTTCTTAAAGAAGAACATGAAACAAAAAAAAAAAAACATCTGCCCATATTCATGTATGTAAATAGTTAATATTTTTGACAGTATTTTTGCAATATTTTTAGCAGTTCTCTTTTCATATTCCTCTTTAACAAGAACTTGAAACTGCAATTTTTTTTTTGTGAACTTGAATGTCATCATCTGTGAAGAAAACTGCAGTTACAAAAGAGAAATTAGATGGCAGGTTATTTTGTATAAGTTTCCAATTGACTGAAGATATAAGTTATTGTTACATTATATTGTTAATAAACATTTTAAATTTGACAATGTAGTGTGTGTGTCACACCAGCGACAGCGAGCGACCACGCCCCCCTTAGCTAAGCCACACCTCCCTTCGTTATATAAACCCCGCACGACCGTCGTTCAGTGCGAGGTATTGTATTATGCAACTTCCGAGCAATTCTCTCCTTTGTCTGTGTTCCAGCTCCGATCCGCCCGACTCTTCTTGCCCCCACTTCCCGCACTGCCTGCTCCGTCCCACTCCGATCTGACTAGCCCTGATTTTCCCTCGTGTTCTCTCCCGGTGTCTCCCATCTACGTCTTCGGACTGACTCCCCGGCTCCACGACCTCCCTGCACTCGACCAAACTACTCCTACGGCTATTCCTCTTGCTTTGGTATTTTGTGTTGGACTGATTTCGGTTTTGACCCTGCTTGTCTTTCGATCTCCCCTGGGGACTGCCCCGAATAAAGACTGTCAAGCTCTACCAGAGAGTCGTGGTGTTACAGTGTGGTAAATTGCGAACAAAGGTCAGATATTATTATATTATTATATAGTGTGTGCCGTAAGGCACAGAAACTACAGAACTTCTAATGAGCAAGATATGCAAATATCCACAATGCAAATATTCTAATCAGCCGAAAGTGCAACATTAGAGACCATGGAGTGGTGGCATCTGCCAACAGTGAATAAAAAATGGGTGTTTGTTTCACTTCACAGTTACTTTTTTTTGCCAACCGATAAAATGACGTATAGCACAAAAACCTCAGTAGATACAACACAGACACAGAGAGCACAGTGAGGAAGCCAGGAGCTGCAGCCATGTTCAAGGAGAACATCTATGCAAACACGAGCAACACTACTGACCAGATCAGGAAGAGGAGCAACACAACTCAATGTCCAGGTAAAGAGATAAAAGCAAATAAAGCAATAAGGGGGATGATTTAATGCACCTTCATACAATCAGATAAACTGAAATAGACACTTTAGAACTAGAAAAGTTACTAAACTCACTTCCATATGGATGATAAAAGTATTAGATTCGACACCAACAAGGTGGAAGCCAAGTGAGTGTGTATGAAGGTAAGCTAGTCATGCCTGCTAGGTTCTTAAGAAAATGTTCAGTCTGAAGTGAAACACACCATCTATCAGGAAACACAGCGGCATCGATCACTGTGGAAGTGTGTCTCTGATGCCTTGTGTTTTCCAGTGAGCCTCAGCAATGTAGCTGTTTGTGTTTCCCAGGATCTGAGTCTGCAGGGAGACGAGACCACAGACCGGCTGTAGTGTGTCTGGGGCTGCTGTGTTTCCTGCTGCTGACGGCCCTCATAGTGCTGGTTGTTTACCGTGAGTCTGTTAATACTGTGATATTACTGCTAGTGTCCATCAGCTGGGTGAGTTAGGTCACTGTCTGTCTGCTGTGAGTCTGGTAATACTGTGATATTACTGCTAGAGTACGTCAGGTAGGTGAGTTAGGTCACAGTCTGTTTACTGTGAGTTTGTCAGTTCTGTGATATTAGTGCTAGTGTCTGTTAGCTGGATGAGTTAGATCACTGTCTGTCTACTGTGAGTCTGTTAATACTGTGATATTACTGCTAGTGTCCGTTAGCTGGATGAGTTAGTTCACTGTCTGTCTACTGTGAGTCTGGTAATACTGTGATATTACTGCTACTGTCCATCAGGTAGGTGAATTAGGTCACTGTCTGTTTACTGTGAGTTTGTCAGTACTGTGATATTAGTGCTAGTGTCCATCAGCTGGATGCGTTAGTTCACTGTCTGTCTACTGTGAGTCTGGTAATACTGTGATATTACTGCTAGTGTCCATCGGCTGGGTGAGTTAGGTCACTGTCTGTCTGTTGTGAATCTTTTTACTGTGTTATATTTACTAGTTTCAGTTAGGAGAGTTAGGCCATTGATCAGTTTGAATGTTTCAGTAAAATGGTCTATTTTTCCTGACAGATAGCAGAGTTATTCACCAGGCAGAGACACAGCACAACAACCTGAGAAAAGAGAGAGACCAGCTACTGCTGAATTACAGCCTGCAGACTGCAGAGAGAGACCAGCTACTGCTCAATTACAGCCTGCAGACTGCAGAAAGAGAGTTTGATGAATACAAAAAGAGTGAGTGCAGTTTCTTTGCCTTAGATAACTAAATTTAAACCGAAGGGGAGACAAATAAAAGTAATGTGTTTAAACATCTTAAAAGAACAACAAATATGTCTAACCTTAACTCAGTGTGTGTGTGTGTGTGTATGTGTGTGTGCGTGTGTGTGTGTGTGCGTGTGTGTTTGTGTGCGTGCGTGCATGTAAACATACATATGCTATGACTTATCTGAGGTTCTCAGCAAACCCATACTGACAGTCACAGCCATCTTTAAGACCAAGCTGTGTCTCTGGACCGCAGATCATGTCTGTCCATCTGGCTGGAGGAGACTCAGCACAAGCTGCTACTACATTTCCACTGAGAAGAAGAACTGGAATGACAGCCGACAGGCCTGTATGCAGTCAGGAGCCGACCTGGCGATCATCAGCTGCAGAGAGGAGCAGGTGAGATATATATATACATTTAAACGGTATATATACTGTTACTACATTGTTGTCTATACAATCTGTGGTATATTATAATAAGGTGTAATGTAAATGTTAGTCACTTCAATGTCGTGCATTGTAATAAAACAGAAAATGCAGTTGCAAGCCAGGAGAAGGTCCATTTGTTATTTGTCCATAACTTCTGCTCTTGAAGTGATTTGCCGCTGGCTGTCCAATTAGCTACCAGGACAAACCAGAGGCAGAGAATCGCAGTCATTTACAGTCCAAGGTCACCTTTACTTTCTCAAAATAAATAACTTTCATAAAGGGAACTTTCACTAATTGTAATATTTCTTAAACTTCAGATCTTTCTTGAAGGTCTGTCTGGATATTTCTGGATTGGTCTCAGTGAGAGAGAGAGAGAAGGAACCTGGAAATGGGTGGATGGAACAACATTTCCTGTAGATGAAGGGTAAGACCAGCCTGAGCACAATTACAGAGAGACGTAGAGAGAAAGGCCAGGATCAGCATAAGTACACAGACAGACAGTGAATGATCTCATTCATCAATCTTACAGCGAGACTGACTGGAGAAGAATTAACTGAATAGTTTGGTACTTTAAATCCTTCTGCACACAGCTGTTACACTGTACAGTGCTAACTGGTATAGCCAGTCCCCGGGTGAAGAATGACTGACTTACAGACAGCTTGTACTTACAACCTGGCTGCCATAAGGCCTATAAAAAATTTGGGTTAAATGGAGTGGTGTGTAATATAGAATACATGCACTGCTTTGTCACACTCATGCAAACATCCGCTCATCCGCTCGCCTGTCCTGCCAGTCCAGCCCGGCTTGCCAGTCCTGGCCGCGGCTCCGGCTGCACCGCCTGCCGCCACGCCCCCTGCTTTGCCTGAGCCTCCACCCTCAGGGACCTCCCTCTTGACTCCCTCGCCCTTGCCCCGACAAGGCCGACACCCCCCAGGACCTCGCCTTTCGGTGTCCTGGAAGGGACGGGGACATAGGCTCGCCCGTTTGGCCCCTGGCTGTGGCTAGGTGGCTGCCTGCGGGTCCTCCGGCTAGGGGGCGGCGGTCTCCGCCGGGTCCCCCCCTGGTTCCTCGGTGCCGGTCCTCAGTCCCGCCTCCGGCTCCGTGTCGGCCGCCTCCGGGCTCCCCTGCTAAGGCTTGGCGTCGGACGGCGCCTTAGCTTGTCTTTTGTATTTAGTCCGAGTCTCAGTCAGTCTTCCCCAGATCCGTCATTGTATTGTTTCAATGTTTGTGCCTGTCAGCCATCCCGTCGTTAATAAACCCCGTCTGTCCGTATTTACGGCTCCATTCGCCTGCTTTCCGGCTCGCCTGATCCCAATCGTGACACTATGTTGTTAAAATAGGCAGATGTGATAAAGTAAATGCTTTTTAACTTGAAAGTAACCAGGGATGAATATACATTTAGTTCTTCCACATGCATTATATTTATGTTAAATTTTGAAAATTAATTAGAGTGAAAATAATTCACTGTACATTACGATGCTAACTTGGAGTAATCTAATGTAATGTCACAAATTACATTTTAGAGCATGTATTCCATAATCTGCAATGGAATACATTTTAAAAGTCAGCTTCCCAGCAATGTACACAGTACAGCAGTATAATATCTACACCACCCCACGCTAAGTAACACTTCTAATGAATAATGTTACCTACTGAAAAATAAGTTTCTTATATGATAAACTCAGGTAACCATTAACACTGCACTGTCTCTAGGTACTGGGCATCAAAGCAGCCTGATAACTTCAAGGGAAAAGAAGACTGTGTGGAGTTCAGTACCGCAAATTCTGTTCCTTTTCAGAGGTGGAACGACCGTCCATGTGATGATGTTATACAATGGATTTGTGAATCCGTAACCAAGTGTTAACCCACAAATTGAGAGTCTCTCCATCACTCACTGTTATTATAGATTGACAGTCAGGGTGAAATGTTTATTTTCATTGCTGTCGAGAAGAAGTAGGTTAATCTCAGCTCTTCTGCAGCAAGAAGAAAAGTTTTTTTTAAATGTTTTCCGTTATATCCTATAATACTCATGCTTTTTATTCAAATTTAATATTGTAGATCATGGTTTGAGTGATTATTCATATTATTCATATGTTGCCATTGTCATTTATATTTTTTTAGAACTTTTTATACTCACTTAACCCTTTACCTGCTGCACCGACCTCTTATTGTGTAGCATCCTCTTCTGCTTCTACATGCAGTTTATCATATGACAGCTCACAGGTTCAGAGACGCCTTTCTGCACGTTACTGCTGTACTGAGCGGTTATTTCTGTGCTGAGCTGTGACCTTCCTCTTAGCATTAATGAGTTGACTCTTAGTCATTTTTTACTTTTTATAACTTTACCCCCAGTTTCTCTTCTTCTTTTTTGTAACAGAAGCTTGGGGCTTACAGCCAATCAACATGTCAACAACCAACACCTTCTGTTTCCCCCCACCCCTACATAAACACCCACCCGCATTTGGTACACAGCTCTCTTTTTTTCTCTGTGCAACATCCGGTCCATATATAAACTACATTTAATCAGTTTTGTTCCTCACATGGTTGTAAATTGCATAATAAATGAAATAAAATAAAATAAAATAACAACCTAAATAACCTCTGTCTCTTTCCTGACAAAACCACAGTCAGAGATATTGTGCCAAAGTCTGGGTCACATTAAGTCCAGCTGTTCTCCTTTGTCCTTCCTCATTAACACAGTGTACCTACTTCCACGCATCTATCTCCCATAATACAGGGTGGGATGTGTCTCAGCAGGTTAGGTCTCTGTTCCTGTCATTGGAAGTTCCCTGGTTCCAGTCCAGTCCTCAGCAGAATAGTTACATCTGCATTGGATCCTTGACTAAGGCCCTTAACCCTGAAAAAAATGCTCAAGGGACCTTCAAACCCAAGTTTGACCCTCAACTATACATACAGGGTCATGCATAAGTCTTCCCCCTGAGGCCATTCCACATGCTGTCATTGTCACGCCCTCCCTACCTGCCCCCCCCTGTTTAATTAACCTCCTTTGGAAGATCAGCGATGACCCCTGATGTCTGGGGTGAAAGTTGCCCTCTTAATCATCCACTCAATCTAACTGCTGAATTCCCCCCTGCCCCTTTACCCCCCTAGCTACTGTATGTTGAGCAGAATGGCTGCTGTCACATCATCACATCACATGGCCCGCTTCAGTCACCTTAGGAAGTGAAGACACTGCTGAGCCTTCTTGGTGATGGAGGTTGTGTTGGTGGTCCAGGTGAGGTCATCTGAGATCTGAACTCCCAGAAACTTGTTGTTCTTAACAGCCACCGTGGAGCCGTTGATGCTGAGTGGTGTGTGGATGTGGGTGGAGCAGGATTCCCTGAAGCCGATGATCATCTCTTTAGTCTTGGCCACGTTCAGTGACTGGTTGTTCTCACTGCACCAGACAGCCTGGTGTAGAACATCTTCTCTGTATACTGACTTGTCGTTGTGGCTGATGAGCCCCACCACAGTCGTGTCGTCTGCAAACTTGATGATGTGCTTAGAGCTGTGTGTGGCAACTGGCAATGAAGTCGTGCGTCAGCAGTGGGAACAATAGTGGACAGAGAATGCAGCCCTGAGGAGCTCTGATGGTGCTGGAAATGTCAGGCCTCTCTGACAGAAAGTCCAGTATTTTTTTATATTTAGTGATTAATTGTCATTGTTCACACACCACAGCACATAGTGCACAACAACAAAACGTGCCCTCTGCATTTAACCCATATGTAACATAGCAGGGGGCAGCTAATTCAGCACCCGGGGAGCAGTGCTTGGGGGCGGTACCTTGCTCAGGGTACCTCAGTGGTGCCTTGCTGGTTGGGGATTTGAACCTATAATCTTTCAACTACAAGCACAAGTCCCTAACCATTAAGCCACCACTGCCCAATTGCTATCCAGTTGCAGAGAGAGGTGCTCAGTACCAGCTCACTCGGTTTCATGTACAGTCTTTGGGGGGATGATGGTGTTGCATGCAAGACTAACGTCTATGAACAGCATTCTAATGTAAGTGTCTCTCTTGACCAGGTGAGATAGGGAGAGGTGAAGGGCAGCAGATATGGTGTCTTCAGTCGACCTGATTGGCCGATTTGCGAATTGTAGTGGGTCCAGTGAGTGGGGGAGGTTGATTTTGACCTGTGTCATGATGAGTCTCTCAAAGCATTTCATGACGATGGGGGTTAGAGTGAAGTGCGGTAGTCATTCAGGCAGCTTACTGAAGACACACACATCCCCCCATCTACGTACCTGCACATCCCCCAACATACATACAAGGTCTTTGTCAAAAGTAAAACGGCCAACACCAATTAAGTGGTGATCAGAAAAAGCACACAGAGCTATACGTGCCGTTAAAACTTTATTCCGTCTAAACTTTGACACATAAATCCTGTCTAGCCTAGCAGCACTAACCCTGCCAGCTGATACTTTTACCCTGGTGAATTGAAGCCACCCCCTCATGCTTCTCCTGCCACACATCTATCAAGCCCCGCTCCTTCACCACCCAACGCAAAGCCACCCTGCAGACGCCATAGAAGGCTCCTCCCCAGTCCTATCTATAGTGAAATCCGTGGTACAGTTCCAGTCACCCCCGACCACAACATAAACATCACAACCATACCGTTGCAGAGCAGCATCCAACTCTCGAAAAAATTGCAATCGATCTGTCCCACAAGTCTAATTTACCAATCCTGTCCTGGTTATAGACAGTCCATCACAGGGCATAAGGCGGGGCTACACCTCCATCACAAAAATAAAAGCAGACCCCCCAATTGTGGCCTCAACCAGCAGCAATCTGCCCTGCATCACCTCCTACATTTTCACACTTCTCAACCTCACCCTCTCAGAAAATAAAATGGAAACTCCAGCACTCACACAAGTGCCATGGCTCACAAAACTCTCACCCGTCCACCATAACCAAAAATCCACCTCAATATCCCTATCGCTATGAGTTTCCTGCAAACACAGAACATCTATCTTATGTAGCTTCACAAATTCAGCCATCGCCGCTTGCTTGTCCTTATCCCTCCCATCATGTATGTTTAAAGTCTCTATGACTAGCTTCTAACCCTGAAGGTCCCTGTTCCATTTGAGCCAGCTAAACTCCCTCTCCACCACTCCCCACCGCCTCAACTGGGACAAAACAGCCTCTTCTGGCGAATGTCTTCACACTCAAAACATCTTAGACTACCCGTACTGGCATATAACATATACGACCCACCCTCCTGGAGCACCCAAAAGGAAACGTCTAATGCAGGATCGTTCAAAATCATAATCACTTGCCTCCTAAAAGACACCACATGTTTCAGCGCCGGAGACTTACAGTTTAAAGGAAGTTTCCTAAAATCCCCGATGATTCTGCCAAAACGAGAAAGCTCCCGTGCAATACAAAAGGCGATACATTCAAAACCGTAATTTTCACAGATGGCGATACCAGCGGTACGATCGCAACATAACCACCCCGCACCATGACTCCATTCTCAATCAACCGATCGACCAAAATCATATCCCTCAAAAACACCACAACTGCCTTATTCATATGCAACGCTGAAACAATATTGTCACAACCCACTTGCTCACCTACACCCAACAACACGTCCTCCACAGACACCTCGGGATCAGTCTCACACCTGATCCCGTGCCGCAGGGGAGATCCCTGTCTCGCACCCATCTGAGCGGGACGCCATCATAAGAAATTAATAAACAGACAATCGCGCATAACATAGAAACTCACCAATCTCCGGAATATACAAAAGAAACCGAAACCAAAAGTTAGACGGATCACACAGAACTTTCGCACTAGCTACATGTGGCTACCGCACACTCTCACACGCCCCGCCCACTCCCAGCAGTCACTCCAACAGAGAGAGAGAGAGAGGAGGAACCTGCAAATGGCTGGATGGAAGAACAATTCCTGTAGAGAAAGAGTAAGACCAGCCTGAGCACAATTACAGAGAGATGTAGAGAGAAAGGCCAGGATCAGCATAAGTACACAGACAGTGATATGGTGGGTTAGGACACTATGGCTGTGCCTGGAAGGTTGTGGTTCAAATCACAAAGTTGGGACCTGAGCAAGACCCTAACCCCAGTTGCTCCAGTTGATTGAACCTGCTGTCTCAAAAGAAAATGCGCTTCAGAAGCCTTAGGAAGTGAAGACTGCTGAGCCTTCTTGGTGATGGAGGTTGTGTTGGTGGTCCAGGTGAGGTCATGTGAGATGTGAACTCCCAGAAACTTGTTGTTCTTAACAGCCACCGTGAAGCCGTTGATGCTGAGTGGTGTGTGGATGTGGATGTGGATGTGGGTGTGGATGTGGATGTGGGTGGAGCAGAATTTCCTGAAGCTGACGATAATCTCTTTAGTTTTGTCCACCTTCAGTGACTGGTTGTTCTCACAGCACCAGACATCCCGCTGCTGAACCACATCTCTGTATGCTGACTCATCGTTGTGGCTGATTGACTGACCCTGCCGTCTCAAAAGAAAATGCACTTTGTTTTTGATAAAATCATCTGAAAGTGTCTCATCTGAGGGTGAACACTAAATGTGTTGAGTAGAAGATTAAGCAAAAGTGGGGATGGGAGGATAGAAGGAGGGGTAGGGAGAGAGTGATGGTGAGGAGGTGTGTGTCTATGTTTTATGTGTAATAAAGGGTCTTGGAGTGAGAGAGAGAGACAGAGAGAGAATATAAAAGTGATAAAGAGGGGAGGGGTGGGCTAAATGAAAGATGATGGAGAGAGGTCAAGGAAGAGAGAGATGAAAAAGAGATGCAGAGGAGGAGGGACCTAGGGGGCCTTTTCCAGCTTCACCAAGGGGTTTGTTTTGAGGATGTGGGCTGTAAAGGCTGCACTGTGTGTCCTGCTTCCCATCGTAACTAGAGTGTAA